AAGCATGACCTTAACCTGGAGACGTCACCTTAGCCACAAGATCAACGGAGAAAGGCCCAGACGTGAGATGGACACCGCGGTCCCCCCGATCCGATGCACTGCGAAGAACGTGTCACCGCTGCAGCTTTCCCGCCGCAGACGCACGACCGCAGACAGCCACGCGAAAATGGCAGACGAATCCAAAAGTATGCGGGTCGCTGACGTCAAGGACTGGGGGAGACCGAGGAGACGCACCCCCTCAGCAGTGTGGGACCCCGGACGGGCCCACAGACCAGAGCAGGGGCCAAAGCCGAACACCGCCTGCAGATTCGCGGGCGGCGCCGTATCAGTGTCCGTCCCGGTCTGCATGGCCGGAGGGTGACGTAAGATGTCAGTGTCGGGGGACGCTGGGGAAGGTGGCCCAAATAAAAAGTCTGAAAAAGTTTTAGATAAAAAACAACTCAGTCGATGGGTTAAACAGAAAAGATAGAGCTGAATACAGAGTCGGTGGATTTGAAAGACTCTCTGAGGGGATCACCTGCGACGCAGCCCAGAGACGTGGAACTGAAAACTAAAGAGACGTTAACGGAAGCACAGAGGGAATAACGAGTGAGATCCCAGCGGGAAAACAGAGCGGACAGGCCAGTGAAGGGGAAAAAGGCGACGTCTCGAGAACTGGTGGGAGGAAAGGAGCGTTGGAAGCACGACCCACCCTGACCGGAGTAAACGGAAGGGAGGCCGCGTGGAGGCGTGTTCTGACGGGACGGCACGACGTCCGAGGCGAGACCTCGATGCGTCCGGGCAGAAAGCACACTTCACCCACGAGTCAGGACGCCGGAGCCCCCCGGAGGAGAGAGACGCAGGGCCGGGCGGTGAGTGCAGGCGGGTGAGGCTGTTTGCAAAGCGCGCGGGGCGGGGCGGGGCGGGAAGGGGGCAGTTCTCAGATGCAGCTTTTTAAACAGTGGTGACTTTTGGAACCAGGTCGATGCTCCACATGCTTGAAGAACAAAAACAGTTAAATCAATAAAATCTCTAGAAACGAAAATCTCCAAAATGCAATATATGAACTGGATCAGAAATGTAGGAGCCAGACCACAGCTCAGATGCATAACATGGTCACGATGAAGAACGAGACCAACCTAAGTGACTTCTAGACGCAGCGCTTAAAATTCACGTGCTCAGATCAATGACAGAAAGACTCTAAACAAATACTGAACGCTAAATGGGAGGCTTTTTAGTGCACCACGGGTTAGGAATTCTGGATTGAGCAAGAAGTCCGCACACTGTCTGTAATCGGAGTGACGCTCCTGCTGTTGGTGAAGACGGTGAGAATCTAGACAGGACGAGGAGCAGGATGAGTCCTGTGGTGCTGGACCGAACGGCGGTATCAGGCATCAGAACCCATGGGTTTTGATGGATGGACAGGCGGATGGACGGAGGGCAGACACACGGATGGAGGGACGGAGGTCCATGCGTATGCAGCCGTACACAACACATCTATTTCTGTATCGATTCCAAAACTCTGTCCACTGACAGGGCCTGGAGGCAATGACACCCCGACAGCACTGCGCGCACCCCGGTCCTGAGCTTGGTTTCCAAATGTCATCCTCTACTGAGGTGAACCAGTTCCCTTGGAGAAATAGGCTGGGGTATTGGTGGCCCAGAAAGAAAAGAAGATGAGGACAGGTCCGAGATTGATGGGGACACATCAAACGCACGTAAGAGCAAGCGTGAGACTGCCCTCTAGCAAAATCCAGGGGCAGAGAGAGACGGCGTGAACACTGACAGCAAAGAATTAGAACTCACTGAAGAAAATGAAGACCCAGGTCCACGGTGATAAATGAGAAAGAAGAGAGAGCGCTTTCCCACAACAAAGTCAACTTATCGACGACAAAGCGTGACAGAATGAGAAAACCAGCACTGGCAACCATCACCGGACGCGTACTAACAATTTACTCAGGCAAGACTCACCACCAGACACAAAACCAGGGCGGATGTTCCGGAATTACAGCGACTCGGTATCAAAACACATCCCCTGGGGGTGCCCAGAACTACAAAGGGGCCGTCAGGGAAATACAAAGGGCAGAGGTGATGGACACTTCCTTGCAGAAGGAGAAAGTAGGGGGGCTTGCCTACCGAGGACTTTAAGGTCATGTGGCACATAGACAAATACACAAAATGAAAAGACAAAGACATAGACAAATACACAAAATGAAAAGAATACAGGGCCCAGAAACAGGTCTGGGCATCAGCAGACTTTTGATAAGTGACAGTGGGGCCGTGGACTACCGTGGAGGGGACGCTCGCCGGCCTGCAGGTCTGGGAGGGCAGCCCCCACACCTTCTCCCGGAACTGTGGGCAAAACGTAACAATCAGTGACCCCGCAAAGCGCGTGCCATCAACCAGGCCGTGTCCGACCGTTTACATGTATCAGCCCAGGGTCTTCACCAAACCCTCTGAGGAAGGTGCCACCATCGCCTACATGAGACAGGCGGCACTGGAGGCAGCCTCACGGTGGTGCCCTTGTGTGAAACTTGAACGTGAAAACTTTATGATGAGGGAAAAACGTAAGAAGATGTCTTTTTGATCCTGGGGTAGGAAAAGACTGTCTCAAACCAAACGCAGAAAGAAAACATGAACAGAACAGACTATGCTGGCTAAATTAAGGGCTTCGGTTTCATCACGATACATCGCAAAGTCAAATAACAAGTGACAACTTGGGAGAAGATCGTCATAATGTGACAAAGGATTAATATCCAGAATACGTAAACCATTCCTACAACTCAATAGGGAATATGGACAAAGATGCGTCACAGAAGAGGGTTTCTAAGTGGCAAGTAAGCCCAGGAAGGGTGGGTATTAACTACCGCCGGGTGCATACATGCGACCCGCACTGGGCAGCTTAAAGCAAGAAACACTCGTGACCTCAGTGCCTGTGGCTCAGGAGTCGGGGCGTGGCCGAGCTGGGCGGCCCTGGCTCAGGGTCCCTCATGCTGATGGGCGGGCTGCGGCCTCATCCGGAGGCTGGAGGACGTGTGAGGCTGTCACGTGGCTGCTACCATTCCTCGCCCAGCTCCCTCTCGGCCGTCGGTGGGAGGCCACCCTCAGTGCCTCGCCTGCCATGGGTCCCTCCACGGGGCTGCTCTCAACCCAGCATCTGAGCCGGGCACCAACACCCAGAAGCCGTGTCTTTTGGTGACCCCATCTCAGAAATGGCCTCCCTCCATGTTTGCTGTGTGGCTTCCTTAGGAGCCAGTCCTAGGGTGCAGCCCACTGTCAGGCCGAGGGGATTATAGAGGGCGCGAAACCAAGAAGTGGGACCACGGTGTCATCTTGGACGACGCGACCACTGCCTCATTACGATCAGGGGGTGGACAGCAAACCACAGCAGATGACACTTTACGGCTCCGACGGTGGCAAAAACTGGAAGCTGACATTACCGAGGGCAGCGGGGCCCATCCGGGCCGAGAGGCCGCCGCGTCGGTGCGGGCACCTGGCTTTGCCTCGAAGTGCGAAAGCAAAAGCGAATCCAGGAAAACCTGGTCGCCGGAAGCGGGACCCCTGAGGGGCCTCCCACCGCCACCTCGGCAACAGCGCAGCCAACGAGAAGCCGCCGCGGCCCAAACTCTCCTCCCCTCCCCTCCCCTCCAGGGGCCCCTCCCGGGGTGAAGGCTCTCTGAACACTCCCGGCTGGAGAGGGGCTCGCCGGGCGCGCGTGGTTTGCATTCCTCCGCCATTCCCAGAGAAGCCCGTTCTGCTGGCAGCGTCACCGCTGACCGGGGGGATAAGCATCCGCATACCCTCGCACCCCAGCAATTCTGTCCTAGAGAATGTCCCGCACCTGTGCACTGAAGACGCAGGCCACAGCGTCTGGCCGGCGCTCACCACACTGGGACACCCAGCTGGAGTGAGTGTATAAACCCTGAGGCTTTCACCCGACACCCTCCTGGACAGCAGTGGACACAGTGACGTATGGGAATGCACAACGGAGCTGAGTGACACACGGTATTCCCCGTGTGAACAATGGCCGACGGTCACCGTCGGCAATTAGCCTGCAGTTTAAATCCTGAGTAGCGCGGCCACTCCGAGAATCATCGGAGGCCCTCGGAGGCCGCGCTGGGCATCACACGGCAAAGCTGGGAGAAGCTGGGGGTCAGGTGGGCCTGAGCTGAGCGGTCGTACTCACCGAGGTGCTGGCGGGGTCCCAGAGGTCGCCCTGGACTCCGGCTCCTTCACAGCCTGTCCTTTCTCAGCCCGGGCAGCCCAGGTTGCCTTCAGTGGGAAGCGACTCTCGCCCTGCAAAAGACCAGAGGTCAGCGGCTACCGCAGGGAGAGACTGGCTTTGGGAGCCTGAGTCTGCCTGGACATGGGCCACGTGCAGCACAGGACACCCCCCCAGGGCTCCGGTGATAAAGGACTGAATTCTCTCCCTCTGACGACAGTGCCAATGACGAGATGAGGAGAAATGCACCACAAACTTTTCTACCCAGCGTGGAGTCGGTGGCTGCTGAACTGCCTGTGCTCGGCTGGGGGTGGCTCTCAACCTCTCTCCTGCTCGGCGTCCCCAAAAGAATGTGCACACGCAGGAACAAAAGGGAACTAGGTCTGCGGAAACATGGCGACACATCGCAAGAGACAAATCTGTGACACCTGAGCTATACTCGAGTGCTGCGCTGCTTAGCACAGCCCAGCAGGGGCCAGCGTCCCCTCTGGCCCAGCCGGGAAGGTGGCTGGGCTCTAAACCTGAGGCAAAGCCGGGATGCTGCTGGCACAGTTGTGACGCGCTGTGGCCGAAGTCCCCCTAGAGGCACTGTTTCTCTGTGCAGTTTTGCAGATCCCTGAATTCTGGGGCCCTTTGGCAGGAGGTTAAGAATCTCTGTTCTAGACAAACGACTCAAGGTGTTCTCAAACACCTGATGAGGAATCTAGAGTCTAGGCTCGGATTGTCAGCAGGGCATTTTAGATAAGATGCAGTCTACAGGCTTTACACACTATCTCAGAAACGCCACCTCTGGGACGTCGGCCTAAAGAGACAAACTCACAGAGGCCCATGCTTGCACACAGAAGGCTGTTCGACCCGTTTTTTTTTAAGGCTGACAAGCCGGGCATTATCCAAGAGTCTAATAAGGAATTTACAATAAACTTTGGCATGGTCACCGTGTGCCCTACGAGTTTTGACAGCAATCTATTTGTCATAGATTGAGAGCAGAGTTCCAAGACCTTTGTACAATATGTCCCAATTTAAAAAGTACAAATAGTTCAGAACACACACGAGTTGCTGGCTGTGGCCAGCTCAGGGTGGGTGGAGTTGCAATTCCATTAAAATTTGGGTTTTTCGCTTCTCTCCAATTTCCAATTTGTCTGCCTCAATGTAAAAGCCTTTCCATTCCCTCTTCCCATTCCCTCTTCCCGTCCCCTTTCCT